TGTAGGCTATGCCTGTTTGAAGTTGTTGCTAAGGAAACAACATGACGGAGAAAAAGTATAATCTTCTACATATAATAACGGACAAAGTACTGACACCGGTGTCAGATATGTTCGGGCTACCAGATATGTTCGGGTGTATTTCCGTCGCATCCGTCATCCGTCATATTCGTCATATTTTACGGCAACTCAAGAGGGCCATCACGGTCAAATTCCGAACATTTAAACATAGCCGACACTTCATTCTTTACTTTGTCCGTTTTCGGAGACTTTGCACACGTTTTTCACAAACATTTTCACACGCTAGGAGTACTTCCAATAGCTTCGTCTTGATCTGTAGATGTGATTTGATGTGTCGTGTGTGTCCCCAACTCCTCTCCAAAGTTCAGATATTTAATAAAATACTCAGGGGAGTTTCCTGAATTTTCATGCCCAAAGCCAAGCACTAGGCCCTGGGTAAATTAAGAGGCTGATCTCGGGCACTTTTGTCCACTTTCCCTGGTGGCCGAAACTCAAGCCAGACATCCATGGAATCGTCTCAGAGAGTAGATGATCAGTGGGGCCTTGTTTTTACTGAATGATGTGTTTTTTTATGGGGAATTCAAATATGAGCTTATTTTTAGGATTTTCGGAGACTTTGCACACGTTTTCACAAACATTTTCACGCTAGGAGTATGGGAGTACATCCATTCGCTTCGCCTTGATCTGTAGATGTGATTTGATGTGTCGTGTGTCTCCCAACTCCTTTCCAAAGTTCAGATACTATATAAAAATACTAAAAGGTAAATAAAACATTAAACATAATGACAAAATAACAACCTGAAATATATGTATTCTATCTACACATTTCGTAATTATCTAATCTAGTGGCCTTATAAAAGTGTTGGCTAAAGTAACGCAGAATATATATATTTTTTAAATTGTAAATAATTAGAAACATTATTTATGTGCACAAGTGCATGGGACCCCACCATAGCACCCCACACATAACAAGCTGTCCCGAGTTCCTCCGGCTGCAGATCCGCAGACGGCCGGTGTGTGGCAGCAGAGCGCTGGGAGCAGAGGGAGGTGAGTATATGACGGATATGACGGATGACGGATGCGACGGAAATACACCCGAACATATCTGGTAGCCCGAACATATCTGGTACTGACACCGGTTTCCCTTTATAAATCACAATGGACTCAAAATGTGGCGCAGCTTCTGCAGGCTTGACGTTATGCCCATATTTGCCTATAAATAGTCAAAGAAACGCCCATTCATTCATTCATTCATTCTGACTGACTGCATGAAGAAGATCGCAGGAAATGCGACAGAACAGTTAAAAAAGACATCTCACACCGTGTCAGATTTTGGTTATTTTGGGGAGGTGGAGATAAATCATATTGTTTGGTGGATGCAGTTTGACAAGAGTAGCAGCATGGAGGTCGGATCGTCACCAACATAAATAAATAAGTGGTCCGAAAAAGGTTCATGACAAAATAAATACACATAGCCTTCCTCAGGCAGTGTGTTTGTACCGGGGACAGGAGACACCCCCGTTGATGAGAAACTGTAAGAAATGCTCGGGGAATCCCTCCGGAGTGGAGTCATGACGACTGGATCTGAGTTATTTGTTTGTATTTGGTGGTTTGTGTTCCAGCTGTCGATCAGCAAATCCATAATCTATACAACCTATAGAAATGCAAAACGTTGTCAGTTTAAAGTAATTCTGTCCTTCTGTTTACTGCATCATTTATGAGAATACATTTCTTAACAAGAGAACATAATCGAGGGGTGATCAATAACATATCCGTATTTATTTATTTCTCCAAGTTATGTTTTTGTGTGCACTGAGGAGTCTCAAACAGGCCTTTGTTTAATCATTTTAAGATTGGCTTTAATCAATTTGTGAAAATGAATTCTTCATGATAAATGAGAGGTAACATTTTATTTATGGTATTATTTATATATATATATATATACACATTTCTATCCATTCTTCCTTCTGCCAACGGTGTCGCAGTTTCTCGTCTCTCCCGTTGTTGTGCTTAGTGCGTACGCATGGGTTAGAGTTTGCATGGAGGACCGAATGTTTTCCCGTCAAGTTAGTATCGCAAACATTGCGTAGAAACTTTTTTGAGCGTATATCCCTTTATAAATGAGGCCCCAGGCCTTTTACCAGATGTTGTGGGACACAGCCTCGGACACACCATCGGGGGAGACTCCCTCGGGGGGGGGGGGGCAGGATAACAGGTTTTAACCCCGCCGCCGCCGCACACGCTCTGTGCTTCAGCCGCTGCTCTCTTTTATCCGTTTTATTGCATTTTCTTTATTTTATTTCATTTAATTTTTTAACACAGACCAAACAGGGCTTTTATAAACTTTTATTGGTTTTATTACAGGAGTTTTTAAACAAAAATACTTACCAGAGAGCACGTGCACCACGCTGCGCTCCCCAGAACCCTAACCCACTGACAAAAAGAGAAACAACCCTAAACCTAATCCTTATTGAATGAACAAATATATACTTCTTGGTTGAGCTAATAACGGACACATTTTATTAATTCTGAATTAGGATTTAAAATATATATATATATATATATATAGTATAGCCATGTTTAAATTAGGTTACCAAACATTTGTTTAATTTCAATTTAATTTATTATTTTTATGTGTAAGCTTTTTCTTTAGTATATCTTTAACTTGAGCAATATAACTGTATCATCTGCATGCATGCAGACTTTCCTGTGAATGCAAGATGTAAGTAAGGTTGCATTCATAGAGCAGCTTTTGAAAAACAAAGTTTAAGAGTTCTTCACCGGGAGAAACATACATACAGTATACAGTTATAACCCTCGGACATGTAAACAAATACAGGGGACACAAATAAATTCACCCATACAAGGAAGGCAGTGGGTAGAAGTGGGTTTTAAAACGTTTTTTGAAGCAGTTCAAGAAACAGTTCTAGATGGATGGGACGTAGAATCTCCATTTGATTTCCTAAAGGATTATGTATAAGAGTCCTTGTTTGGAAGATCTGAGTGGCATGGAAGTGGAATAATGATATAAAAGATCGGAGAAACCATGTTCTGGAACGACTAATCCATGCCTTCATTTCCTCCCGCCTTGCCTACTGCAACTCACTTCTTTACGGCATCAGCACTACATCCCTCAACAGACTCCAACGGGTTCAAAATGCAGCTGTACATCTCCTCACGCATACCAAATCATGGCATCATATCACCCCAGTCCTCAAAGACCTCCACTGGCTTCCTGTCTCCCATCGCATCAACTACAACATTCTGGTCCTCACCTACAAAGCACTCCACCATCTGCCCCCCCCTTATCTCACAAACCTTCTCACTCCTTATCAACCCCCACGGTCCCTCAGATCCACCGCAGCCGGACTCCTATCCATTTCCACATCCACACTCTCAGCTTTGGGGACAGAGCCTTCTCAGTGGCAGCTCCTAGGCTCTGGAATTCCCTCCCCCAAGATCTTTGTGACTCTGAGTCCCTCACAGTCTTTCAGTCCCGCCTCAAAACACATCCTTTCAACTCTGTCTACCCATAAGCCCCCCCCCTCTCAATCAACTTCCTCTTGACTGCCTTTTTTTTAATTTTTTTTTAATTTTACTATACTTACTTGTTTTCCTGTCCTTGTTTGTCTACCCTCCCTCATACTGTAAAGCGTCTTTGAGTTGTGAAAGCGCTATATAAATAAAATGCATTATTATTATTATTATTAAGCATTTGAAGAGATTACACAGTATCTTGAAGTCTACTCTGTCCTTCACAGCGAGCCACTGAAAGGATCAATGTTTAGTGTGATGTGATAACATTGGATTCCCTTAACACACTGAATAACAGAGGCAACAAAGTACAGCCTTGTGGCACTCCTAATTCATTATTTACCAGTCACAAAGAGTGCAGTGTGTCAGGTATGATTGTATCCACTTGATAACAGACTATTTATATTCACACTGCAAAGTGCAAAGTACTGGCTGAATGACAAGGTCAAGAAACTCTGCTCCTTTACCCAAATTAACTTTGCGGCTTGGCTTTTCCAAACCTACTATGACACAGTTGGCTCTGGCCCAAGACTGAATAAAAGGGTTTCAGAAAATAACAGTTTGTACCTTTCATGAGAACAGAGACAAAGCTGGTGAGACAAGAACAACTCGATCAGAGTCAGCCCGATCGAGACTGCTGTAATTGGTTTACTCTTCCAAGGTTTCTGATCCCGTTGTGAGCTTTCGAGGAGGGAAGATGGATGATATTATACCCAGGTAATTCAGAATGGGGGTTTTAATGCTTGAACACACAACCGCTGATGAACAATTTTCGAATTGTAAGTCAAGTGGGGGTTATTATTTATGTGATTATTTAATTGTACTAAATGATATCCCTGGCAATCTAATCCAATTCTGAGAACCTGTGGCGTTGAGAGTTTATTACAGTGAGGAAAAGATAATATTTGTAGATGTACAAAAGGTCCCTGTTTATACCCAAGCCGAACATCTTTTGTTCTTTCCCTCTGTATCCCTCCTGACCCCCTCCATTTGTTTCCACTCAATCTCTTTCTCTGTTGCCTCTCACCCAGTATCTAATCAGCTGTTGGAAGGTGACCAAAATGTTGGACGATTTTGTAGACCTCCAGCCAGAAATAAACAATATACTCCTTTTTTTCTGATAACAATGCCTCTTAGTAGGGAGTTAACTTCCATTTTGTCAACTTGCACTGGATCAAAGACGGTAAATAAGGGTAATATATATTGTGTGGAGATCATTGTGCTGGCCTTTAATCGGCTTTTAGGGAACTCTTTGCAATCGCATTTAGCGTTTAATGCTCTTAGTGCATTACAACTAGCAAATAGAACGAAACTGCTGATTCATTGCATTATGCAAATAAAAAATGGAAAGCTCATTATGTCGTTGTTTGCATTAGTGTGAATGTTAATCTGTTTGCGTTTGGATTTAGACAGAATCCTCTTTTTGTGTGTGTGTTTATCCAACTCACTCGACTGTGTCCTCCCAGATGCACCAGTGTCCCTGGTCCAGTTCTTGCATGTCCAGTCTGAATTTGGCCATGCAGAACTCCTCAATGGCGAATTCATAGTGGGGTCCACACCCTAATGTCGACACACACTGAGACACTGATGAGAGAAAGAAGGGGGGAGCAAACAGAGATGTTGAGATGTTGAGTGAAAGGAGAGACAAAAGAGCAAAAACTCAGAACTTAGATGTGAGGAGCAATGTACTTTAGCAATGTGTTTGTTCCATTATTATTATTGTGTGTGTGTGTGTGTGCGTGTGTGTGTGTGTGTCATCATTCTACGACCTGGTTTTAGGTTGTTGTGGGGTGAAAGCTCAGCAAAGCATTTGGGATTGAAAGCAGTTACGGCCTTAAATGCTGCCCTTTCTTGTTGGTTCATTGCCGTTTAAGATGTTACTGTGGGACATGACACTGAAACACCATCTGCTATCACAGTGTGAGGTACTGTATCACTGCCTTACAAGATCCAAAAACAGCACACAGACACACACTCACACACAGAAGATGTGACGTTTTGAACCTGAACATTTGTTCAACATTGAATTCTTGCTTGATACGTTTTTCAACTTTTAAATGAGCAGGAGAGTGTTGTATAGGTTGAAAAGGACTCAAAAAGAGTCTTTGGATACCCATAGAGGTACATCTAATGAAGTAATAAACTGATAGCATGTTAAACCATGCTTTGGTTAAACTCCTGTATACACAGTACCTACGGAGCCCCCTAGGGGACATGGAGAAGAGAGATATCGCAAAACCTTTGCGAGATCATGCAATACTTTTGCGAGATCTCGCAAAACCCCGTTGCAGTTTGTAGACTAAGCACTCCTCTCCCTCCTCCAGCTGCAGATTGTGACCAATTATTGATGTTTAGCTCGGATGACGGCGCGTATCGAACTGTTCTGATAGAAACGACTCAGTAGCTCATTGTCTATCTTGCTATAATTGTAAAGTCATGTTGTTTGTATTTTTACAACGTAATGTTCATGAGTTATTGATCCGCGAAATTTGAATCTGTCAATAACTCAGCTCAGAGTAGGCTTTGCGACGTGCATGTCCCCTCGCTCTGAGTGTTTTCTTGAGGTGTCTTTCACTTATGTGAAACCCGTGCCTATTTCCAAGCACTGATGTTATATCTTTATATTTTAGGCCAAGTTCAAAGTAAAATCGATGAACCGCTCCATTGTTGTGGTTTCTGTGTTGCCCAACTGACCAGGAAGTACATTGAGCTAAATGAATAGTTTTGCGAGATCTCGCAAAACCTATATATATATATTTTTTCAAATAATTTATTTTTTCTTCTCCATGTCCCCTAGGGGGCTCCGTACATTCCCCCTGAGAGTTGGATAATACAATTATTCACTTTCATGTATTTGAGCAAAACATGGAGCAAAAACCTGTAGCTGATTAGCATAGCTTAGCATAACGAGAGGAAAACAGTTTGATTGGCTCCATCCAAAGTTGTAGCAAAGTTACCAATAACCAGCATATTAACATACCTTTATACTAATAATTCAATGCATATTAAAGGAATTATTTTACATCCAAAGACTCAAGATTATACAGCCAGGTAGTCAGGTGCTTGAGTATTAAAATCACAGCATACTGTCTTAAAGTTAAGGAACCTTCAGGTTATTAAATGATATGCTTATGCAAATTAAGCTTACATTTAGCCGTAAACACAATTATGCACTGACAAAATCCGCTTTCATGGTATATATTATTTAAGTTAATTCATTTAGAATCTCAAAACCATAGGTCAACAAAATAACCAGATGATAATGACTAATATAGGGAATTACATTATAAATCAAGATGCTTCAACTGTACCAAACCATTCGTACATCTAGGATTGCAATAATACAACACCATTTTCAAAAAATGTAAGAAATCATGCCCGTTTAGGAAGGATTTGAATTATGTGCATTACAATTTCATAATTAATCCTCAATACAACACTTAAAATTATTATAAAAAGGTAAATGACTACGTTTGCTCGAAAACATGTATATAAGTCTATGAAGCAAACACAACATGTCAGTGCAATGTGATGTTGCTGAATAACAACAATTCTGAAAAAGTTAGACACAGAAGTAAACAATAAACCTCACTTGGCTTTCACATATTAACCTCTAGAACCAACTCCCTTATCATCCTTGACTTATAATTGTATCCTTATATTTTCCCTCCTTCTTATTCCCTGCAGTATACACTTTTTTAAAAGCCTCTTTTCAATTTGTTTCCCTTATTCCCTGAAGACAACTCTCCCTTTCTCCCTCTCATTTCTTTATAACCTGCTGTTTCCCGAGTGTAGAGTAAATCTGCATACATGTATTTGCATCTCTTTTCATCCCTCCTTTAGCCTCTCTCTCTCTCTCTCTCTCTCTCTCTCTCTCTCTCTCTCTCTCTCTCTCTCTCTCTCTCTCTCTCTCTCTCTCTCTCTCTCTCTCTCTCTCTCTCTCTCTCTCTCTCTCTCTCTATTCTCCTGAGAGTTTCCTGGAGGAGTAAACACATGCAAACTGGTTTATGCGAGTATGTTATGGCGCAGAGCTGGAAGAGGAAAATAGGTAGAAAATGGAGGTAGAAAATATAGGCTAACCCTAACCCTAACCCTAACACAACTTTTAACATTCCTAGAATTCAACAAGATAAACCTGAAAAGAGTAAGAGCCTCCGTACATTCCAATCTAGTCATGCTCACAATCTCTTTTCTAGCTTTCCCAAATCACATATGGACTGTTTGTGACTAGATTCAATAGTCTTTATGAGAGTTTTTTTGATCTGGTGTCCCTATAATCAGGAACACACTTTCTAAAACCATTACAAATCAATTCACATAACTTTATTCCGGTCTGCCAGTGTTCTGGTTAAGCTTTGGTTAGGTTTAAGCAACAACGCCTTCAATCAATTCCTACACCCTACATTGACCTCCAAACAGGGTTTTGCAGTGGTTCGACAATGCAGTCTGGTCTCCAGGAAAATGTTGTTCTCATATAATGACGCTGCATGTTTCAATTACGCTTTAAGGAAAATGCCTTTTCTCCAACATTATCTAGGTCTACAACTGTATGTTTTGATTGAAACGTAATTGAAAATGCAGGTTAGTTGTATGGGAATGTAATGTTTTAGGATACTGTTTTTGATTAATGCAATTCTAGTTCTGCAATTTCTTCTCAGAGACAGTAATTTCTCCCATTACTCATCCAGTTGCTATTTAGACACTAATCTTATCAACAGAAAAAACTTGGATATTGGTCTGTTCTGTGAAACACAAGATTACCTAAGTATAGTATTACTTCTTTTGAAAAAAAATATGTCAGTGGTTACAGTATTGCTACTCAGATGTAATGCAGTAAGACAGTGTTATCAATTTCTTAATGTAGCAGTGTATTGCCCACCAAAGATGTAAAATAAAGAGGTATATTTCAACACAATACTAATACGACACATAAAACATACCTAAATAACTACTGATCTGCACATTATCTGTTATTTAACCCTAGTATAAGAATACAATAATCATATAGTAACCTGATTATTGCATTAGAAGCTTTTGGATGCAAAAAGTGCAGACCAATCAATCATTGCTTTTGGCCTCCTAGCATCAGAAATGTTTTCTTCTTAAAAGTGTTAATACAATAATTTGGTAGTGCAAATGTGCTGTTAAGGAATCATTGTAAACATTCAATGAAACACATGAATACAGTAAACAGTTAAAAAAATAACCAACATCCCTGGTGGCTGCAGAGCCCTCAGGCCGGCTCTGAACATTCCCATAATAAATCCATTCCATGTAAGTGGACTAATTGAACCATACTAATGATGGCTTGGTTGCGTGTATGCTGAAAGCTTGAAGGACACCAAAATGACTGCAATTACTGTATCAAGTAACAGAACTAAATAATAGTGTAAGACAGTGTTCAATGATAGTGACACTGTAATACTAAGATTATTATTGATGGGAAAGGACCACAGCTGCAATTTCAAATAATTTAGGAACATTGAGAAATCCATTGGTGGAAAGTAACAAATTACATTTGGTTATTTAAGTATTGTACTTAAGTAGTTTTTTGACTTATTTCCATTTTGCTTCTACTCCGCTACATTTCAGAGGCTAATATTACACTTGTTAATCCACCACACAGTCACAGTTACTTAATTTGTACATACAAAAACACATGATATGCTGATATGGTATAATGCACTACTGTACTACTTATCTCCACAGTATTTAATGTATAAACATTTGATCCCTATTGACCAACCACAACACTATAGTGCTCTGAAATATAAATAAAATATTAAAGCTGCAAGCAGCGATGATCCTCAGACGTCGATGCACTTCCAGGATGCAGCAGTGAAATGCCATGACCGCTGGAGACCGGCAACACGGATTAACATTGCGTATTGCATGTTGTGTGATGCGCTGAACATTTTTCTAAATCTTGCACCAACCCCGGAGTCCAATATGTTGCGCTGCAGAACCCACGCTTTAAAGAAAGTGTGTTGCTCTTTACCACGTAGACTAAACATCGAAAGGGTCCCCCCTGTTTCCGGAACTAACTTTTTAGATAATGGTTCCCCCCTTAGATAAGGGTCCCCCTTTTTTAGATTAGAGTCCCCCCATTTTAGATAAAGGTCCCCTCTTTTGTCTAGAACTTACTTTTTAGACAAGGATGCTTTAAGGGTACATTAAGGCTATTGTAATCTGGGGATTACAATAGGTCCTCTGCTTCGACTGGTGCTCGGGCCCTAATAAAATAATACAGTGAAAATATCCATTCTGCCTAACAAGTAACTTTATTTGTATACTTACAGTACATTTAGGTGATAATAATGATGTACTTATATTGTTCTGGAATAGACCATTGTGCAGAATACGTAATTTTACTTTTTTGTACTTAAAGTACATTTTGATATTAATACTTCTGTGCTTTAACTTCAGTAAAAAAAATGTAATCAGGTTTTTTACTTGTAGTGGAGTATTTTTAAAAACCATAATATTTGCACTTTTTTCCAAGTAAAGGATATGAGTACTTTCAGCTCTGGAGAAATCAATAATAAATATTACTGAGAAGATGTAATCCTGAACATTCACGACAA